CAGTACAAGTCAGCATAGATATCAGTGGCGCATACCATCCAGATCCCCTCTTTCCGCATGCTCTTGTAAGTCCGCGCTGATTTGGTCATCACTGATCTGAGAACGGCAACTTGATGAAGTGAGAGGTCCTGGCACAATACCAAACATAAAATAAGTAAGGCTTCACAGTAATTTACACGAAACACCTTACCATCACTACGAGGAGGGCTCCAAATAGTTGAGAATGAAGACTTCTCACGACGTTGCTCCTCTTCCTCCTCACGTAGCTGCTTCTTCGTCATCTTTTTCTTCTTCACAGGGTTCTGTGACTTGGTCGCCTTACCGGCGGGCTTCTTTCGGTTCGGTTTTGCCAGTGAAGCAGCATCAGAAGAAGCCTCTTTCGCTCGCTTCGCCTTTCCTTTGTTCTTTGGGGACAGTTCTTGGGCGGGTGATGAAGATGCTGGGGCGGTTTGGTTTGTACTTCTCTTGCGTTCTACAATACATGCAGCTTTAGATATAAACATAGAACTATCAACACGCGCACAAAACTTACTGGTCGTGTTGATCCCAGGTGAAGGCGGTAAGGGCTCTTTCAAGACAAGTTGGATATTTTGACACTTACAAAAGTCAAGGGCCGCATACACAAAGTCCAGTAAAGCATTCTCCCCGTGGAAGAAGTCCACTCCTTTCGTGCCAGTCTTTACATTGCATCCTGGTTTTACATAGTAAAACCTCATTCATAGAGCCATCACGGTTATTGTTGCTGTGCGGACTGTTTTACATAAATGCAAGATGACCTACCCATCGTCAAGGCCTTGGGCGCGAGCATGCGTCCACTTTTCGGAGCGCAAAAGCCGCCAAACTTGCTTGAACACCATATTCTGTTGAGGGGTGAGTGGGTGGGGGATTCTTGATTGTGTGGTGTACGGCATTTGCTGATTTTTTTCAAAATTTAAAATCATATGGATAGACAACAGTACGATAAGCGTATTGTTAACCAACCACAACCATTATTGGTGATAATATTTGATCAATCACCCTGTTAAATCGATACATGAACTGAATGGAGCTGTTGTTTGCGGATCTAAACCATACTGAAATCAAGTCATGCAATACCTTCCTGTACAGCATAAAGGAGG